CAACCACTGCCGTCAAGTACCAGATGGTGAATAGAGTGCGTGGCCTGCTGAGAACTGGGCAGTTGACACGCAGGTAGTTCGTCAGGACGGAAGCTCTCAGTGGCCACTTTGGTGAGTCTACCAACAGGGAGAAAGAAGGAGAAACAAGAGTGAACAAGAGTGAGAGAGAAGGTGCAATAGGCCAGTAAAAATGAACAACTGAATTGAAAAGTGGCATAAACTCTGGTATTTTTACTCACGGCAGCAAAGTGGTTCCTTCACAGAGGCCGGAATCGATAGATACGATTATTTTGTGAAGCAGTTCCGCTCCAAGACAGAATCGCAATGTGACTTATTTGGTACGTGACAAAAGTTGGAAATCACGGAGAACCGGAAATTACAGTCTATTCTACAAAAAAAAAACGCTCGACCGTAGCACCCTAGCTACCATACAGCCCGAAGTAAGAGGGTGGGTTGAGAGACTGCCAGGCTGCCCAAGCCTAGACAGGAGTGATGGAGAAGCCAAAGTTGGGTCGCACCACGAATCTTCAATTCGTGCTCGAAAAAACGCTCGACCGTAGCACCCTAGCTACCATACAGCCCGAAGTAAGTACGAGGGTTGAGAGACTGCCAGGCTGCCCAAGCCTAGACAGGAGTGATGGAGAAGCCAAAGTTGGGTCGCACCACGAATCTTCAATAAATTCGTGCTCTAACTACTGATCTACCCCGTCCGACCAAACTATTCAACAAGAAAAGCGGGCATTTATAAGCAGTTTTGTCCGGGATGCAATTCTGAAAACTGGTACTTGTTCATTTCTCGACCGCAATCTACTGTTGTTTACAGATGCCGAAAGACTAAACATGCTTCAACAAGAGGACGTCTAAGCGGTCACATTGAGCATAAGCTACATTCCAATGATGAAATGCTCAAAACAAAAGGGATGGGGTCAAAATACTCCGTGGGTTCTCATCTTCAATTTATGTTTGCACATTTGCCACTCTCATACGTTTTAATTTGCAGATGCAAGAGTGAACTGAGACAAAATGACATTGATACGACTCATGTGCGACTACTTCAGATTCCGACACAATGCAGATGAGCAGCACCGATGGAACGCTGGATTTAAATTTGCGACTGCTTTTGCTTGTGAGAATCCATTCTCCATCGGTCAGTTGGCCGAAATCAATCTGATCACTTCGGGATCTCACATGTAAGAAGATTCGCTTAGGACTCGACGGAATGCCAGTCAGGAGGCGGCGATTTCCATGGTCAGATGAACAAACCAATTGACACACCTAGAAAGTCGACAAGCGCTGTCTAGTGGGACAACGTGTCTAATTGTTTGCCTTCGATCGTGGCTAATCTCAGTGAACATTCATTTAGGATGAATTTTTAAAACCCACAAACTTCGACGCGCAAAGGCCAATCAGAAATACTCAACCAAAACTAAATCGACCGCGGTGTTACTCCGTATGGATGAATGAATAAGGGGAAAATAAAAAATAAAGGATTGTGGATTGAAGATGGATTCCTAAAGGCGAGGAGTCAGGTAGGATAAAGAGTGTGCTGAAGGGGTTCTGTCGAACCAAACAGCATTTCACCAAAGTTCTGAATCGCTGCATTCGGCAGGCCGGGCAATATGTCGTAGCATGGTATTCGAAGACGATCTACAGGCCTACTGGCTGAACCACAGAATATGAAAAGCCATATATAGAGCTTTCTCCGCAAATACCCATTCCCCTTTGGTTGAAAACTCATTAGTTGTTGAATTTCAGTGTGAAACTTCGCGCGGTTATTCCAGTCAAAAAAGGTTTAGGACGTCCTTCCATGCGCTGCATGATCTGGTGGGCGTAAGGTAGGCTTACTCAGCCAGCGGAAAATGAATACTAAGATAAGAAGCAGTACGCTAGGAGGTTATCAAAAACATACAGTCTTTGAGATACTTCAGGGCT